CAATTCAATTTATTTATATATTGCCAATTCACAACACAAGTCATCTCAAGGCATCTTCGCCTGCTTCCAGATTATTTTACCTATATAGAATACATGAATCCACTACCATTTAAGATATAAACTCGTAATGTTATCGTGGTTATAGCAGTCTATGGCAAGCTGTATTGATAGGTATTAGTTTGATTAAATATTTATTTCTGATATCCTGAAAAAAAATCCTCATCAAGATAACAGTTTCAGACAAAATTACTCTCTTCACATCTAGAATAAACATTTTAGATATCTACAAATGAATTATAGACATTATATAAAGTTATATTAAAGATATTCCTATTGTTGCTGGCCACCATTTGTATTATTTTAACTATGAAGAAATGCATTTCAGATGTCATAAAAACATATTCAGCCAAGCTGATAATTGTCAAGACAAGCACTTAAAATGTGTAAACATTTTAAGGTATGAAAAACTCAATTCTCACTTGTACAATTACTGCTGCTGGCAAAGATGTAATTTAAAACCTCTACTATTACAGTTCTGACTAGGGATGTCATTTAGCAATCTACAAATGGAACAACACAGGGAAGAATGCTTTTAATAAATGTTGAAATGGCCTGCCTTGGAAAAACTTCACACAAAACTACACATTAACTTTAGAAGCATTCTTCTCCTTCACCATCTTCTTCTCCTTTGCAGCTGTAGTGCTGATGCTCTGTCTTTTTTCTTTCTTTTTTTTCATTTCTGCATTTAAATCTCTAGTTCCATGGATGGATGGATGGATGGATGGATGGATGGATGGATGGATGGATGGATGGATGGATGGATGGATGGATGGATGGATGGATGATTTAAATAATNGGATGGATGGATGGATGGATGGATGGATGGATGGATGGATGGATGGATGGATGGATGGATGGATGGATGGATGGATGGATGGATGGATGGATGATTTAAATAATTCAAAGCAGCCGTTGTGAACTCAGAGTTTCAAACCTTAGGCTAAATCAATTTACAGTTAAGCATTTAAATCTGAGTTTGTTAAACCTTTAAAAGCGGATCAAAGAACTAATACAATAAACCTTACTCTTAGTACACAAGGTGTTGAGAACCATAAATGTATTTTCTTTTTGAAATCACACGATTGAATCTACGATTGAATTCCTGGAATTGTTTCTATAGTTTCTATTAATTACACATTTAGTTTCTATTAATTACACATTTTAAAAACTGGCACCTGAAAATGAGACAAGCATTTCAAGCACTGGCATTCCTTTTTTAAGTAATTTCTGATTCAGCTTCAGGTCATTAGCTAAGAAAACCAATTATGTAAATTAAATAATATATATGTGCAGCAATATTTTTAAATATGATTACATTTGATCACATATGATCACATTTGCCTTTTTATGGCATTGGAATGAACTATATATATATATATATATATATATATATATATATATATATATATATATATATATATATATATATATATATATACACACATCGATTTTATGTAATTTCTAAGCCGGACAGAAAGTTGCATATGTAGATTTGTCCCAGATATAGAAACCTGGGTAAAGTGGTACAGAGAATGGGTTCTCAAAGGTGTGCAGATGGGTTAAAGAGTTAGAAGACACTTGGTAGAAGGACAGCGTGCCGCGTGGCCAATCTAGATACACCCCAATTCTGTTGCATCCAGAAGGACGAGTAGAGGACCACATCTTTTTACTATTGTGCCATACACAATAACTATTGCTGTAAACACCGAAATACCAGGAAACATCATTATATCCAAACCCAGTGTGCCGGCCATTTCCTTTTCTTGGAATTCCTTCATATGCAAGACCAACGCCAATACCTTTAGTAGTTTCACTGCTCCACTTAACTTCAAAGTAATGACAGCCCTTAAGACCCTCTCTGCAGAGAACCTGGGGGTATTGATTAAACCTTTTCTCTGTTTTAGGATATTTCTGCCAGGTTCCACATGTTGCTTTCTTGTCTTCTTCAGACAAAATGAGGCTCCCATTCACAGTTTCTGGGTCCAATGTGAGATCACAGTAGTCTGTTAGATAAAAAAAAAACACAAAAAAAACAACCTGTCATTTTCAAAATCAAAACAGCATGATTATTATACAGTTGAAACCAATTTTTCTGAGTCCTTGGCATAAAATCAACTGCTCGAGTTTGAGTTCAGGTAGGATAACACAAAAATTAATGTTTGAGAGATGGCATGATTATACAATGGGGAGAGGATTGGTGAGTGATTTGCAAGGGCCTGGCTGTTGTCTGTTTGTACGCCCAAACGTTGTCCAGCTTCCTTGTACTCTCTGGATGACATTCTAGGTAGAGTTTTCAAAATAATATTTGGATTTAACCAATTTATTTCTCTAAGGAGTCTTATTTGCAGAGCAATCAGGAATGCAGGTAGACCCTTTTTTTGTCAACACAAGTTGATCATCTTCCTTACTTACCAGAAACAGAATTAGCTTCCGTAAACTCAACACCCCTCCTTCCATCACACCTCCTCCATGGAGATCATAGAGATGAGATATAGGATTTTAAGGATTCCTCTACGTACTGTATTTGACTAACACTGAAAGTTAAGCTTACATGTCTCTTCATCTAGTCTTGGTTAGCTTACCTAACATTCTGATTTAGTCTCTAATGTGCAAAATGTACTTTAAAAAAACCTTAATTTGAGATTTACTGGTTTTAACATTCTAAATGAACACCACAGTGATTGGGGCTGTAGTACATACATTTGTACATTATTTTAATGTACCAGCAGCTAGTATTACACCAACTGCTAACTAGCAGTTGGATAAAAATATTTGTGTAAAGCATGAATAAGATGCATGTAAATATGGACTTACACCACATTAAGTCTTTTTTCTCCATGACATTTTTCACTCTATGAATAACAGGCTTTGAGAAGTCTTCGGTTTGCTTGACACCTTCCCTGTAATGGTAGATGGTCGCTCCCTTGAACTCCTTGTTTGGCAGCGCTGCTACGAGGAAGCAATATCTGCTGTTGCTTTTCAAGTTTTTAGCAGTTTCTGAGATCATGTTGGCTTTCTGTTTCATGTTTTCCAAGACCTCATCTGAGAAGAACCACTGGTACTTGGATGGTGGAGTCACACTGGATGGAGTTTCTTTTAAGTAATTGACCATCTGGTCCATGTAGGAATCATGAGTTTCAATGGAGGTGAAGACAAAGCAAAGGGCATCTTCTACACCAAGAACATTTCTATCCAAGTCAGACTTCTCTGGGATCATCTTAATTCCCTTCATAATGTCTAAACAGGATGCAATGACATTGATCTCTCTGTCTAAAAAATCGAGCCACTTGTCTAAGTTCTTCTGGCTGAATGGAGACTTCTCCTGCTCATCAAGGAAGCTTTGTAGGGATTCTTCCTCTTCCTCACCCTCCCGAATGAGGGGAATTTTCTCCTGCATGGTCTGTTGGACTTTTTTCTTGTAGTCTTCAGTGAGATGTTGGAAACATTTCAGCTTTTTGTGCATCTGTGGAAAAGTCTTCACCAGACCTTTTTCCAGTGTCTCATTGCATCTCAGCTGAATTTCTCTGATACTTTTCAGAACATTATCGACTTTTCTGATCAAACCATCAGAAAGGTTTCCCTTTAGCTCAGCTGCAGCGGGATCCAGATTCTTCAGGGGAGTCAGCCAAGCTTTAACAGGAACTGATTTCTCTCCATTGTTTCCAAGAAGCTCTGGGAGCTTGCTGTAGGTACCTACCGCCTCCTCAAAGGTTGTAGGATTCTTCTCCAGAATGAAATCTCCAAAAAATTTGCAGGTGAAATTTTCAATTTTTTCTGATTCTCTTAAATGTTTGTCCAGTTTTAGTTCAGGATTCAGTTTTGGGATATTCTTTATTGAACTGCGCATGCTTGTCTCCATGCTGTGCACAGTGCTGCTGTCTAACTTCTCGCTGTCAAACACAAAGAAAGCATTGGCCCCATATAGGATGCCTGTGACAACATGTGTTGCATGGCTGTTCTGGATAACCTCTCTTATTTGCAGTTTCTTGGCATCCTGATGATTTAGTTCCAGTCGTTCATAAGCAGTTGTGGCTCTGTACTGATGTATAACTCTGCTCTGGTTCTTGAACTCCTTATCATCAAGCAGATAGTTGGCAGATCCACCAACTTCAACCAGGCCACTAATAAAACTGACTATGAGAGATGTATCAGCTTTCAGCAGATAAGCCTTGTCTTCAATGGAGTCTGAGACAGTAGTTTCATAGAAAGTGCCATTTTGAGTTTTTTTTATGCTGTATTTTTGAATAGTTTCTCTGTCCCATAGAGAAAAATCTGTAGAAAATAAAACAAAATTGAGTTAATTGCCACCAAATTATGTCATTCTACTTTTGTTAGAGAGAAGTTTGTAAACAGTTTCTTTGTTTACTGGTGTTGTTGTCAAGATCGATTTTTCTGTACAATATCCAGATTATCAAATACAATCTACTACTCAAAAATTGAAAAATCTCCACAAAACTTAAAATATATTGCAGTATAAAAATCACATTAAAGTTGTTGTACCTTTACTTTTCTCCTATGAGATACTTGTGTTTGAAAAAAAAAAAAAGCAATAATGGGAATATTATAAAGAACAATCGACCCAGTAAAGACTGTTCAACTTTTATTTTGGTCCAACTCAGGATCCAAACCAGGAAGAGTCACAGTTTAAAACATTTCTCTGCAGCTTGTGAACTGATACCCTGTTTAGACAGTGTCTTGGCCATAGCCAAAACGAAATAGAACAACTAAACAGAGCCATCAATCACATAAAGTTAGATGCGAATCTGACTAACCAGGAAATTAAAACAATTTACTGTGTTTTATTGACCATAAGATTTGTTCTTCAATGACTTTTCTTAGACTTAGACTTACACAGATTTATTTGTCATTTTGTTCACACAAGTGCAAAACCAAAAAAAAATTTCGTTTGGAACAGCTTTCTGGACAATTTCATCTTTTTTTAAACTGCAGCCTTGAAAAATAGTAAAACATATGTATAAAACAGTATTATATACATATAGATATGTATAAACTGTAAATTTACAGTTCTAATATTTTCATTTTTTTAATATAATGAAAAAATATAATAAATGTAATAAAATACAATAACCCATTTTACAAAACATTCAGCAGTCTAATGGCAGTGGGGGAGAAACTGTTGTGGAATCTGCTGGACCTGCATCCAATGCTTCGAGGTCTCTTCCCCAAGAGCAACAGAGATAACAGTCCATAGTGGGGGTGTGAGGGGTCATTGATGATGTTACGGGCTCGGGACACGAAGAGCTGGGATAAAATGTCTTTAATGGAAGAAAGAGGAGCCCCCGTGATCTTCTCTGCTGTTTTTACTACTTTCCTCACTTTCTCCCAGTTTGACACGCTGCAGCCTCCACACCACACAGTGAGACAGCTGGTCAGAACGCTCTCTATGGTGCTTCTGTAGAAGGTGGTGAGGATGGGTGGGGGCAGATGGGCTTTCCTCATCCTCCGCAAGAAGTACATGTGCTTCTGTGCCCTTCTGTGCAGCAGAGGTGCTAGCCAGAGGAGCCGGATGGCTGCTGTGCTGGGTAGTGGAGTACAGAGGAAGCCAGTTGTGGAAGTAGTAATCTGTCTGACCATTAGGGAATCTATCTGACTAACTGGGGTTTGTAACCTGATTTGAGACTAACCTTTGAACCAAGCGCTGAGCAAGTGTCTCCAGACTAGAGAATAAGAACTGAGGACCCTATAAGACAGAACGTTGATCGGGACCCATGAAGATGAAAGACATGTTTGAAGAGGAGCTCTGCGGTCTGAAGGGCTGAAGGACGTTTTCTGAATGAAACAAGCTGACATGCTTTGGAAAAAAAGTGTACCATGGTATGGATGGTGTTCAAACCTTGGTAGGTGGAAATCCAGTGATGAAGTTGAGTGCGATATGAGACCATAGACATTTGGGTATGGCTAGGGAGTGAAGTAGTCCCGCTGGTGGTTGATTATTTGACTTGTTCCGGGTTATGACATCTTTATGCAAATATTCCACCAAAACCTATGGGAAATTAGGGTAATTCTCTGACTAGAACCAGGATGGCAGATCAACCTGGAAATATATAACTAATTAATGGCTTGATAATGAACACAAGGGAGATGATATGTAGTACCTTGTGAAAGCGGTCTTGGATCAGGTTCCTTCTGAAGGGCAGAGGCGACAATATCTCCTAGGTTACTCAGTCAATGGTGCAACTGGGAGGTAAGATGGTGGATGTTTTAATGATTCCTTGTATGAAGAAAACTGTCTTGAGAGAGCACTGTGTTTGATGATCTTAGATCCAGGGCAGTAGGAGATCGATAGGTTGAATTGGGAAAAGAAGAGAGACCAACTTGATGTTCTGGGGCTTAGATGTTTGCCGACTTGCTAGAAGGAGAAGTTGTTGTAATCTGTCAAAACCAATAGTGGATGCTCAGCACCCTACAACCACCTGGTACCTCACATCATGTGTTATTTTTTCATCTACACTGACCCACTTTGGTTATTAACGCAGATGCAACACTGGCTGCTGTCAATACCATATAAAGGCAGACAGGCAGTTCTTCAAGAATGAATCCATGAAAGCTCAGCGGTGTGTAAGTATTTACTGCGAGTCTAGGCGGCATATGGGCAATGAAATGGAATAATATAATAGATGCAAAACCCCATTATACACTTTAACATATTTATGCAAATTATTTTAACATAAATTGGCCAAATATAAGAGCAACATCATAGTTTGCCTCTGCCTAGCCCTCTGCCGGCCTTCAGCCTCTGGACCCTCCTGGTTCCCCCCTTCTACCGCTCTGCTCAATCTCTGATCAGGTATAGACCTACACACACACAACCTGCAAGTTCACTGGAAGACTGCTAACCAATCTGTCCCTCTCTGCAGTGAAACCAGTCGTGACCACACCCGGACCCGATTAAACCCAGAACCATTGTTCATTTATTGTGATCTGTTCAAATAAACATCGTGAACTTTTTCCCAGCCTCTGAGTGTTCTGCATGTGGGTTAGATCCCTGAAGACAAACATGACAGGGTGGACTGTGCTGGACACCCCCTTTTGGCACTCCCAGTTTTAATTACACCTGAGAGCAACACGCAATAACACCACATTTGAGCAGGTGCAGGGAGGATCGGGGACTTCTCACACCCCTGTTCGCCGGCTGCCACCCGGAGTCTGTGGCCTGGAGGAAGAGCGTGCCGCCTGGTCCATGGTCTTGACAGGGGCTGCTGCGAGGCCTGGATGGCCTGCTGGTGCCAGGGCTGTCTCTTCTGCTCTCTCCAAAGAAGTTCAGTTGAGTAGCTTTTATTTGTCCCAGGATGGGCAATTTTTGTGCAGTAGTAGTACACCTTTCACACACACGTTCACATTTCACAAATCACAAATAAAAAATAAAAGAAGAAACACAAGAAACATTAAATATTTTAAAAAGATAAAAGGTGGATAAAAGAGAGAGAGAAAAAAATATGTGCAGTGCAGGGGATGAATGAGAGCATAGGCCTATATGCCTATCTGCTTTTCCTAGTAGAGTTTAGCAGCTGAACAGCAGAGGGAATAAAGGAGTGTTTGTATCTGTTGGTCTGAACTGGTGGATATTTAAAACGGGAACCAGAGAAGGTTGGAGGGAGGGGCGTGTAGTGGCTTGGTGAATTATTTAGGGGTGGGGTGCGGTGAGTGGGGGGCGGGGCTCTGTTTGGATGGCCCATAGATATCCATAATAAAGGCTAGATGTCTCGTCCGCGCTGCTGGCCAATGGGGGTCGACGTCCGCACGTGGCGGCCATCTT